CTAGATGGCGCCACATGTACCGTTTTCGACCGAATTCGACAAAAATTCATTTTCTGCCTTTATTAGGCATCAAAACGCATCAAACCCTAATAGAAATTTGTTTCTAAATGCCTCAGGAACTGAAATATTGCACTGAAACTTCGCTGATGGTATATTACCGTTGAAGTGTAATCAATTAATTACCGACAGAATCCGGTCGGTACTTTACCCGTGGTCCTCATAGTTCAGCAGTTTGTTGGTAGGTGGCGCTGTTAACAGAATTTGTGGCGGTTTTTTTAAAAGATTATTTCCTTTTTGATTGTTTGATTGATAGCTTATTGTTGTGGGACAGCATTTGTGGCGGTTTTTTAAAAAGATTGTTTCCTTTTGTCTTAATGTATTTATATGCGTATCATTTTTAATAATTCCTATACTCTATGGTACGACGATAGCTTTAAATATTAATCATTTGTTCACAAGTACAAATAGAATTCTTCATGATCGACGGCTTCGATAACAGAACTCTTCTTGACCGACAACTCTGATGATCACCACAGAAAAATCAACATTACTCCAATTTAAAAACTAATTACGTCATCATTACGAGTGGTCAATTTAACTTTTCTGGGGTGAGCCTCTTTGTAAAAAATTTACTGCACATGTTTACCTTTTACGGTTTAGGACTGTGCAGAGGTTCGAGGTTAACTGATTAATTCTCTGTGCATAGCACGAGGCATACAAACGTTTTTCTGTTCAATCGACATTGTACGAAGAAATGTAACGTTTCTTCCACTAGCTGGCAGCACATACCTGAATGTAAAACTGCAATAAAATCTAACCGAGAATGTTTTGATAGCATTTACATGGTCGTGTAAAATAATTGCTAGTTGTAAGTTTGTTTTGAAAGTGACAATAAACTATCATTTATGAATAACAATGTTGTTTCGTTACGCAGTTTCGAATGCTCGTGCGTTGTTCAATGTCATAAGTGCCGAAGTATGCCTGCAGTGTAGTAACAGAAATAAAGTTCTAACATCGACGCGATTAACTCAACGTCTGTTTGCAACAAGCGTGCAGTGTCCTACAATCGGTGAAATTATCGAACAATGGAGTGACCGGTTCAAGAACGAAGGTGTTCCAGAACCCGTCGAATCGATCGAGCACATCGTCGCACATGTTATAGGCACTAGCAAGGTATCACGTGTACTAAATGTTCAACTCATTTATCACGTGTTTGTTACTTCTTTAGTTTCATTTTTTCTCCGTTCACCGGCATCGACTATTCAGGCCATTAGCCGGCCTTTGTACTTTCAAGATATGCAATTGTTTTATTGACCTGCTTACATTAGCGGACCTAGATAGAGAAGTTTTAATGCTACTAAAAAATTGAACGCTTTAGTTGACACCATTAAAGTTTCGGTAAATATTTCTTTTCAGATATTAGACCTTGTTAACGCGCGAAACGAACGACTTACGTCAGACCAACATGATACTTTGGAATCACTGTGCGAATGTCGATTATCTCGGTAAAAACAAATTGAAAAACTATAATACATTTACTATGAATTTTATGAACTTAGAATCGTTTCAGAATGCCGGTGCAATACATAATAGGAGAATGGGACTTTCGAGATATTAATTTGAAATTAATGCCGCCGGTTTTTATTCCACGACCGGAAACGGAAATGTTAGTTCATTACGTTTTGAAGGGACTGAGTTCTTCTCAAAATAAAAGCCATGAGATTTTAGAAGTTGGATGCGGTTCTGGAGCAATTTCTCTTGCCATTGCGCACAGTAATAAAACAGTAATTATTACGTATTAATATATATTTTAAATATCTACTTTTGTTATTATTTTTAAAACAATAGAAAATATTCGAACAAAAATTTCTGTCGACAAAATTAAATTATGCTGAACTAAGTATCACGTGACTTAAGTATAGGTTCTATAAATAATTTAAAAAATTTTCAAGGTTATATACATTTTTTAAAATGGAACTACATATTTTTTATGCATGTTCTTTGAAACATTCTACTTAAAAAAAAAACGTTGTGATACAATATTAAAAAACTTGACAATTGATGAAATATTTCAGACTTTTTTTTGTAAAGTATTTTATTTTCAAACTTTTTTATATAGAATGTTATATGTGTGCATAAAGAAATAGATAATTTTTAAGAAAATGGAGATGACCTTAAAATTCATCAGACGCCATTTTTGCAAAATATAAGTTTTGTTTTATTTTCTATTCTTTTACATGCATTAACCCAATTGCATAGAATATCTTATTTATTTAAATTAGAAAAAATAATTATTTTTTAGGTAAATTGTATAGCAATTGATTCAAGTCCAGATGCGTGTGAGTTAACTAAAGAAAATCGTGACAGATTAGGCCTTGAAAACCAAGTTGCAATTATGCATGCTACCCTTAAAGAGGATGGAACCATTGATCTTACAAATGTGATAAGTGGCCCGAAAGACCTTGATTTAAGTTCGAAAACTTTTGACTTTATCGTCAGTAATCCTCCTTACGTGCCGACTAAGCAGATACCTACTTTAGCACCAGAGATTAAAATGTAATTTACTTTTTATATCAATTGTATTGTGTGTATGATTTTTAGTGTGATACGTTTTTTGTACACAGTTGTTTATAACTTTTAGTTATGAAGATTTAACGGCACTCGATGGAGGTGACGATGGTTTGAAAATAGTTAAACCCCTGTTGAAATATGCTGCTACAGCTTTGAAACCTGGTGGACGTTTACTGTTAGAAGTGGACACAACTCATCCCGAATACATACAGTTCTTCACAAAAAAATATCCAGTTCTTAAACTCCAGTACGAACATACGTACAAAGATTTTTGTAACAACGACCGATTCGTTGAGATATCAAAAATTTCGTAAAAATAATTTCTGTAGGAATGAAGTAAACTTCATTTACATTTGTACAATTATGTAATAATATTTGTACAATTATACACGAAATGAATTGTTTAGAACATACTGTGACATATTTAAAATAATTTATTTGATTTTTCCATTTGTTAATACTTTGATTAAAAATGTTCTTATGTTGGACGGATCAATTACGAAATTACATTACATTTATTACAGATCGATTCTTACCGTGTAAATAAATAATACTTAACGAAAATGATGTACTGAGCATTTTGATAATTCGCCCAGTTGTATGATATGTACAATGAATATCGAAAGTTATAATAAATACATTAATGAATAAAGTGACGATGTTAGATATTAATAAACAATTTTACCATTTGTATAAAAATGGTATCGAGTGAAAAATTATGTTCTCTTTTTGGTACGAAATAAGCAATGTGATTTTGCAATTATAAATTTGTAACATAATATTGCAGTGTTCGATCACGATCTTATCAACATTTCGAAGTAAATATTTCCTATTAAATATACCTAGTTTATCCACTTATGGCATTTGGAAAATTGCTACAAGAATGAATGAGTTCATGTAAATACGTTCGATGTGAACACGCTATGATAAATACATCATGTAGAATATAAACATTATCGATTAAAAGTGTATAAAAAGTTTCTAAAATATTTACACATTAATACGAATACAGTTTCAAATACTGATTTAAGTATATCTAGTATTGAACGTGTGTATCTACTTCTCAAGGACTAAAAAACCTTGTTATTGCTCGTTATCTTTGTCACTTATCGCGGGGAAAACTTCTCCAGTTCTTTTTTGATTGAAGCTATCAATGGTACAGCAGGATCTTCTGGCGGAAGTTGACAGTCTGTAAGTATACGTCTTGTGTCTATATCTGGCAAATTAGGTCTGTGAAATGGACCAGCACTTAATGGTCTGGTACCCCATCCACTACGAGATTGAGGTGGTGCACTTTCACTTTCTGCAACACTTCCTTTGATGGGCTTCCCTGGTAATGATGTACGGGGTCTTGGCTTTATTTCGGTTACCGATGCTGCCGTGGAACTGGAAACAAAATATCCACATGTTTAGTTGTGACTATAATAATACAATGCAATGTAACCTGACTAAATATAATAATATCAATTTTACTTTAACTTTAATGCATAGCTGATAATCAACTTTATCAGCTATATTTTTATGAATAATGCAGGCAACACTGAATGCTTTTGCTGATACAAATTAAAATTATAGATACCTGTGAGTAGGTCTTCCTTTGGTCTCTGAAAAGATAGTGAGAACATCTGGAGCATGTACTGCGGACGTTGGTCGTGTTACACTTGACTGTGGTTCATTTTTAGGATCTCTACTTCCAAAGAGACTGAAGGAATCTTCTAGCAATTCATGAAGTCTTCTTCTTGCTCTTCCTACAGGGCCAGATGGTGCCATATAGGCTGGGTCAATATCTGTTCCAGATGTACCATTACCTTATTGTAAAATAATACTACATAAACTTTCAATTGATACACTTATTCTTGATCAATAATACTGCTACTATGTGACATACTATAAACTCAAAAACTGTGTTTCTAATGTACTAATTTATACAATATATATATGTGTTAAATAAAATTATGATATTATAAACATAGGCATAATGAAAACTAAGAAGTTACATAATGTATTTAAAAAAAAATGATACCTTCTGTAGATAAATTCTGTCTCCGAAGGTTCCAAACAATAGGACCTACAACTCCAGGATCTTTGATCGCACTTGACGTTCGTGCAAAAAACTTATCAATTGGTTCATCACCTCTGAAAACATCTCTATAGTCACTATCTCGTCTCGTCAGTTCTGGAGAATCTATATCTAAATGTTTAACCTGAATGGGAAAAATATTTATTTAAAATATAAACAAGAAATAATAAACTCTTAGTGTGATAAATACAAAAAAATTTAGTTTTTTACCTTTCATTAAACTATATTTAAATCACATTTCTTTTTGAAAGAGTTATTTTCAATATAGAAACAGTACGTACCATAACTGGTTCAAGAACTCTAGAAAGAGGCTCCACACTTTTCATACTAGGAAACTGTTTACAAGAGGGCATAGAAAGGTAAGAATGTGGTGAAGCAGTGGCTTCCTCTTCTTGTCTAGTATAATTATTTTCCAAAGAATCAAAAGTTTCTAAATGATCAGCTACCACATCTGTTGAATCTGATGTCCTAGGTGTATCAATGGCATTTGACCGAGATATTCTTCCATGAGTTAGTCTAGGTATAACAAGTAACAATTAAAGCATCACATAGTGCATACACACTTTGTATCAAACAATGGGTACCAGAAATAATACTGATAGTTATTCAAGATTGAACAAATTTATCAACAATATAATCTAAAGAAAATTGCACATTCTAATGATGAAGATTTTTAATTTTAGTTTAAAATTTATACCTCGATCTCTTTGGAGGATGTTCCCATGGGCTTGGCTCACGTGCCTTTCTTTTTTGTTCTTCGTCGTTGTCGCTTGAAACCTCATGAATACTTGCGTCTAGACTGTCGGGACTTTCAAGGGACACTGGAGTTCTCGATAAACTTCCAGGAGTCTGTCTGTGACTGGTACCGTCAGTCTGTAACGAAGGCGTATAAAAGATCGATAAAGCTATATACTTCATAATAAATCAGTTTAGAAAGAAGAATGAATGGTATCATGAATATATAAGTTCATCATTATGAACCCCGTTGTGTTGTTGTCTGATAACTTATTCTACTTCAGTTCATTTTACACTTTAATAAACTTTTTTATTTCTACATATTCTACTGAACGAGAACAAATGGTTTAGAAAAAACTATATGCAACAAATAAATTACTTTTTTGTGGTAGATCAATTCTATTGTAACTACATTTGAAAGTATTCTACAATTACATTAATTAAATAAACATACCTTAGCTTCCACTTCAGATGAAAAAGCATTGTCAAGATCAGCAGTAGCTTGTATATAATCCCTTTTCTTCTTCAAAATATGATGATTTGGTGGAGCAGCTACTGCACTGTGTGCTCTTTTCCTTTTTGCTGCAAGAATTAATCCAGCAACAACCAGAGCTAAGAGAATAAAACCCGCACTGGCTGCACCAATTAGTAGCCATGCATCTCTTCTTCTTGAAAGAGCCAGTGGTTGAGTTTCTTTTAAATAAGCTACACATATCAGAAAAGCATAGATGACAACACTATGTGTGACACATATGAAAGTAATTATAAATACTTACGTTCACTTTGAATAATAACTGGTGCACCAAGTTCCAATGCAACTTCTTGAGGTGACAAGAGAGCCATATCCCTGGCTGCTGTTTCAGCAGGTACAGGTTTGCCACCTAAGTGAACAGAATAAATCAACTTCGTAGCACCACTTTCAGTCATACTTGTATTCTGCATTCTAACTTGAACAGTTTGATCTGCAGAATGATCCAATGAACGTAACTCTGAACGTTTGTTTGTACTTATATCTTCTGTACTAATATTGTTAAATATTTGTTTGGAATCATTACTCGAAAAAACCTGAGAGTTAAGCTTTGCAGAAGATATATTAGTATACTCCATAGTGCTTTCATTGTAATCCATTGGTGTAGTAACAGGTATATTTTCATTTGATGATACTTTTTCTTGAATAAGACTTGACTTTTTTAACTGCTCATCCATCTCAGAACTTTTTTTGTGGTTTTCAATATTATTGCTATCAGAAGTTGGTAAGAGAGTATTTTTGAACTTGGATACTTCAATCATTTTTATAGGTTTTGGTAATGTAGAAATTTGATGTTCTGATTCTGTTTGAGCTATTAATTTAGCTGATGATATTGTAGATTCTTCAAATTTTTCTTCATGATTATAAGCAATATCTGGCTAAAAGAATATTGATACAATATTGAGAAAGTAATTTTGATAATAACTTTGATGTAAAACCTTCTAATAAATGTACCTTTTTATTAACAAGTCTTTGGTCTCTTGCTACTCTTCGCAACCTTGGGTCTGTTTGTAAAAGACCTAGGTGACGTTGTTGTTGTCTTGAAAATGCAGTACGATACAAACGTGCTAATCTCAATTCAATTTTTGGTGGTACAGCTTCACCAGCACGGAGGACTGTTAGTAGCCAGTACCTAATACAATATAGATAATTACAATTAAAATATAAAAAAGAATTCTACTGTAAGAAGAACACTTTGCAACAACTAATAAATTAGTTTTGTTCATTTATATAATATAAGTATTTTTATAAGTGTTTTAAAATTAATTCAGTTAAGAAACAAATATGACACAATAATATAATCAATAACAAGAACCTTGGTCCAGGATCTTCTCCAATAAGAACTCCAATATTCTGATCTTCATCTTCATCTAATTTAGGAGTTGGTTCAATACAAGTAGTACATTTTGGATCATAAGAGTCAGTTCTATGTGGAGATATTGGTTCATGTTTATCTTTGTCATCAACAGGTGAATAAAGTGTTACTGTATGATGAATTGTTCTAGTTTCATAAAAAGTCAGTCCTTGATTGGGATCCACCCATGGTGGAGCATCTTTAGCATCGGTCCAAAAAAAGTCCTGAAGATGAACTCTTCGTCCAGGTAGATGTTCAATTAAAATAATTTCGTCCTCTAAAGATAAAAACATAAATTCAGAAATTTTTATAGATATATATATGAAATAAATGAAATGTTTAGTTACTTTAAAAATAATTAAATTAAAACCTATTGCATAAAATAATATTTATTCCTATTTTGCAACATTATGATATAAACCATCAATGTTTTTTGTAAAAATAAAAATATATGTGAGAAATCAAGGTGTTGAATAAATTAAACTAAGTTTGCATTTTTTTGTTAATTCTAAAGGTATATTAACAACATTTAAGTTGACAGTATCAATTATAAAAATAGACAAAATCATTTTTTATTTTGTACACATTAAACTTTTTTTATTAAAGTATAACAAAATGTTTTATACTAACACAAAATATATTTTACAGTTTTATTTTACTCGCAATGGCTATATAACAAAAAATTTATTTATAAAGTAATAAATCAATAAAAATATTTTTAGTCAAACTAATAAAAATTGGTAGAACTGATGTAAACATTGGTACACCTGTAAGCGAGGAAATACATTTTCTCTATAATTTATTTTTCTTTATTTCACTCAAGCTAAGAATGTATTATGAAATAAATCAAGTTTTGTTAGCGCATAGAACTTGATTTTATTTCATGGAATGTCAATGCTGTAATGTTTGAAAAATTATCGTTGAAATTTGTACACAAGAAGAATATAAATATGAACGTATTGTTGCGTGAAAACTTCACTTTCCCAGGAATTTATTGGACGTCGATAAGGACAATGACCTACAGCCATGCGAATCGTAGCGACGACATGCGACATCAACATAACAAAGATGAGCTGATTGTAAACTCTCTTCCACGCTAAACTTAACTTATATTGTTATAGGGTGTTTCAAACACAAAATACTTAAAAAAGCAAGATAAATCTTAACATCAATATTTTTTGTGATACGTGTGCTTTATAATTTATAAACTCTTCTCTATTTATTATTGAATGTACTTATCACTGCAATGTTTAATGTCATAAATTTTTCAATTTCTAAATTTGAACATGTTTAAATTTCTGAATTAAAAAATGTAAGAATTAACAAAATTAATAAAATTCTTAAATTTGTTTTAATTTGATAATTTTAAGATTTGTTATCAATAAAATTTGGTAACTTTTAAATCTGAAAATTGCTATATTTCTAAATTTGAAAATTTGTAAAGAAAATAAGTAAAAAATTGTGCTAAAACATTTACTTATTCTAATATAACTTCTTATTTTTGAAATATCCTGTACAAGTATGAATAGGGTTAAAATACTGTCTCCTGTGTTTCATTAAAACTATGCATTATTCTTGCGTGCATTTGCATGTGGCAGAATGAAAGGAATAGTTCCGGAATTATTGAACTTCATATTTCGCTGGGGAACAGGAAACGAGGAAGTTATTGCCATAGCATAATTCAAGTTCGTATTTGCCCAGTCGTCGCGTGCTGTCGCTCAGTTTATTGTCCTCTAAGATTAACAGTGTCTTCCTCAGTGTCATTAACAAGGACATTATCCAAGTATGAACATTCGTCTTGTACCTTTTGGAATATGATAGTCATGCAATCGGTAACTCAATTATTGCCTTGTTTCCTAATTGTCAGTTTCAAGGATGAAATAGTGCAATATGTCTGAAAATGATTAATCCACATTAATAATTAAATTCTTCAAATTAGATTTGTTGGTTAGGTCATCTTTTTAAATTAAATTTGATATTAGAACGAATTATTGTAATTGCAAAATTTGCAAATTATTTTGTAAAACTTTGGACGACAAAAATAGAAAAGAAAATTTGGAAGAATTGTTAATTCAGTTATCTAATATTTATTCAGTTTTATTTCTTAAATAAGCAAACTTTTACGCAGTTTTCCGTACTTATATACTTCTGTATTGTTTTGTTTTGTAAGGACGACCTGATTTTATGGTCCGTTTGCAGTTCCGGTCCGGAAGTAACGTCAAGTTCCGTGTATACGATGTCATCTGCAATTTTTTTATCAGGCTGTACGCAAATACAGTGCTTTTTTTATTTGCGATCAAATCTGATAATTTCAACATTTCTAGATGTTTATATTTTTAAATTGTCGAAATAAAAATTTCTAAGTAATCAAAGTTCAAGTATTTAAATTTGAAAATTAAAAAATTTTTAACCGTGAAAATTTGAAAATTAAACAATGTAATATTTCTATATTATTAATTTTCAATTTTTAATTTCCTAAGTTTCAAATTTTCAATTTTTCAATTTTTGCTTTCAAATGTACAAATTTTCAGTTTTCAAGTTTTGAATTTTCCGGTTTTCAACTTTCAATTTTTCAATTTTCGAGTTTTCAATTTTCGAATTTTTAATTTTCAAGTTTTCAATTTTCAAACTTTCAATTTTTCATTTCTTCAATTCTCAAGTTTTTAATTTTCAAATTTTCAGTTTTTAAACTTTCGATTTTCAATTTTCAATTTTTCAATTTTTCAATTCTTAAATTTTCAGTTTCCGAATTTCCAATATAATAATTCTCTAATTACAAAATTTCTAATCCTGAAAGTTTGAAAATCAAAGAATTTCATATTTCTATACCTTTTAAGTTTTATAGTTCCAAATAAAAAATTTTTAAGTTTCCAAACATTTAAAGTTACTAAATAAATTTCCAAATTTCGACAAACTCTGAATAAGATTAATTGTCCTATTACGAAAATGTGTCACTTAATATATAATTTATTATTTAAGTAATAAATATGTACATATTTATTAAAGTTCTCATAAACCTCATCTTTTATCTTCACACACTATTCGATATTAATTTTCATAAAAATCGAATAGCTTCAGAAGATGATCGATTGTTCGAACTTTTCATACATTCGACTGATGTAAAGACTTGCGATGTACACCTTGGATATTTTTAGTCTGTGGTGGTGGTGTTAAATCGATAGAGAGGCAAGTTCCTATGGTGAAAATAATGTAAATTGATTCTGATTAAACCCCGCGGCTTTACCTTCGATTCCGTTACAGTCTTTTCAACCCCCTTCAAATCAACGCTGTTACGAATTACTGCTGATTGTGTAGCCGAACTCTCACCTGTTATCGAGCTTCAATTATTTGCTCAGAACACGGAAGTTTGTTGCTAACAGCTCGATCGCACGGCATTGTCAATCTATCGTCACGAAAGCAATACTATCTTTATTATATCAAATGAAAGTCAACTTTTTGCTCCTTCGAGTGACACTTCATTATATTTTCATACACGGCGTATATCCTTGATGTAAAAGATATAGACTACCTTGTTTACAAATATTTTTCAATTATAAAATAAATTTTCTTTCTGTCTACTCAGTTTAAAAAAGAAAGAAATTAAAATTTTTGTATTTGTACATTTTGCAACTTACAACTAACAAAAGTTTTTAATTTTCAAATTTCTAAATATTTAGATCTGAAAAAGTTCCTATATCTTTGCTTTTTAAATTTTGAAAAGTTCAAGATAACCCTAAAATATTCTCCCCTCCATTTTCCTAACAAAATTTAAATATCACTTTATTTTACATTTCTCTAATTCTCCAGTCTAGCTGTGTACTCTTTGTGTAATAATATCCGCAAAATGTTTACGTGATTTATAACCGGATGCAACTTCATACACGTATGGCTTCAAGTTCAATATCATTCTAATCCAACAGATAGTTTCGGTTGCATGGAACGTTCAAAGTCGGCGTGACTAAAACCACTATCAAATCCCGACATGTCAGCGAATAATATAGCAAGTACTTACATAGAACGCGAAGTGTACCTGTATATATTATACATAGGCAGAAACGTGTCGGCGATAATAATATCGATTAACCGACGCACACCAGCAGCTGACCGCTGAATTACTTAAGCTGTCTTCTAGATTTCTGCCACCTAGTTTCTTCAGCGACACGGTTTCGAGTAGCTCGACACGAAACCCGTTGCTTTAATACACACGGTCACGGAACTTTGATTTCTATGACGTATGAGCTGTTTTAACCTCGCCACAATGCACGTTGTGATACACGCCCCGATGCATCTCTTTCGAAAGGTGCGCGCGAATGGAACGACAAATAAATCAAAATCGATATCTCTAACTAGATCAAATATTTGTCAATCATATTCCTCGTTTAATTATTCAAGGAGTCAATATTGATCATTTCAAAATTCATAAGCTCGCGTTACGATCAGCTCTGGTAACACCGAAGTAATTAAAAAATATTTTCGCGAACTGACAGTTCGATTATCGAACGATCTGAAGTTCGTTGTGCTCGGATTATCGAGTAACGGTGCGTTCACACTGACAGATACGTTCTATCTCCACTTTAACAAAATTCCACTCGTTTACATTTGATTTATGTAGACACTTGAATTTCTTCTTTACACTAGAATGTAAACTGATATTTATGAAAGACTATGAGTAATTTATTCATTCGAGTTTTGTTAAAATAAGAGCATTCTGTTGAGTGTAAATGTAACGTCATACAAGAAACATAAAGAAACGAATGAGATAGGTATACACGAATTTAAACGTATTTCAATTATTTTCAATTATAATTAGGCGATATTAAAAGCATTTCAATTGTCTCAATTATATACCAGTCAATTATTATAATTATTTTCAACAAGTCTCATCTTAAAAAATTAGTTTAATGAAGTATGAATAAATAAAGGAAACTGACCAGCTCCCGGTGGAAGGGAAGCTTGCACTCTCAGGATGTTTGAATTTTGTAGTAGAAATATTACGATTTGTACGATTGCGCCGAAAGAAACCGATAACACAGTACGTAAAACACCGCACACCAGCATCGCGCCGGATGCGCTCCGCTCTACTAAGAAAACACTGTTCACGTTTCTACTATACTACACGAGAGATGCTAGGGGAGCTTTAGACTTCTCCCACTCCGTATCCCTTCCCCTCAGATACATTGTAACAGACAGAGATAGACAATATTCCATACTTTGTTGATTACAATCAATTTGAGGAGAAAAAGCACAAAGTGGGAAAACCCCACAGCTCCCTTCGACACTTCAGCGCTATATGCACAGTTGTACAACATCGCTGCATTGCGCAGGCGCGGTTTTTCGCGCATGCGCACGGTGTACTTTGCTCTTTATTTCAATTGCCTAATTTTTGAAATGTAAGGTCTTTTTCTTGACGATTCTAAATTGTTTTCCAGATAATTCTAGAGATTTGGAATATGTTAAATATGTGAGATAAATATATCTGTGGTTCAATTATTTTAGAAACATTTCCCATTATAATTATTAGTTTCTACTAATTACAGTTTGTACGCGATTTTGAGGATAGACGATTTGACAGTTACTTTTAAACGAATTGAGCTCATTAGTACTGGTTGATAAATATTCCTACAGTACAGTTTTATTGAAAATAAATAAAATGAGATGAATATGATAAAATTACATATGTAGACACATATATGTAGGCATATATAATAAAGAATATACTGAATAAAATAGCAAAAGAACTAGGAAATACAAAATTATAATTTTTATGAGAGTCGCACGAATTCCAAAATTGCCCAGTTTTCAAATAAATTCTTAAATTTTAGAATTAAGAAATTTTCAAGCGTCTAAATCTCTAGATTTGAAAGCTAGCCAATCTCCAAATGATCAAATCCCTCAAATTCTTCAAATTCTGAAATTTTCTAACCTTTAAATTCTGAAATTCCGTAATTCCTAAATCCCCAAGTCAAATAACTCAAACTTTAAATTTTCAAATTTTCAGGCGAGTCAAATTCTCCAAAAATTTGTCAAGTTCCCAAATTTAAAAAATTGTTAAATTCAAGAGGTTGAAACAGACCCAGACACCGTCAAGATTAAACGTCGTCAGAGTGTCAGTTAATGACATAAAACGGTTCAGGGGTCAAAAGAAGTATATTAATCATTAAAAATCTGAGAAACAAATTCACGATACAAAATAATATGGCAAGAATATACTGTATTTTTTTCATTTAATCGTTATCATACGAATCACTACCATTTAATCATTATCATTACTTACAAGTCATACTGTGGTTGTTTTTTCTCGGAGGATGTACGTGTTTATGTATGTGTATATTTCATTACGAACTTATTATTACTGTTATTACTATTCTTAATCGATATCAGTACGATGATTCATATTTCGTGTTCTATTACATTCATTGTCGTCATTTATCATTGCCATCATTGTCAACATTGTCGTCGCCATCATTAACATGATTATTAGCATCGTTATCGTTGTTTTTTTGCTTCTTTTGCTGTTGCTATTGTTATCGTATTCTCTATCATCATCGCTATCAACACACCATCATCGTTACACTTGCTTCGACGCAGTAAGGCACAACGTCACACTGGTATATAATACATTAATAATAACGCGTTAATTAAATACATACATACGCATAACAGGCTCGATACACTTGGTGTCGATGTGACCCTATCACGCGTTTCTAACATTTCATGCTATCAGAAGTAACAAAACGTTGTACACGTACTTTTAACCATGAAAATGTATCCTCGCGGCCAAATACAATACAAATTTACCGCGTAATTTCACTGTCTATATATATATATTTATATAGGTACATACATACATTATGTGGACACAAGCATACTAACGTCCATACGTGCGAACATACGTTTAACATAAAACGTATGTACCTGCACGTATACAGTTAACATACACAGGTATTATGTATATCAAATCGCATCTGCATGTTTATATTTTGTAACGCTTAAACATGATTGTCCGATGCGTATGTACAGAGTTATTTACATTCTTGATGTTTCAAAGATTTTACTAGTCCCCCAGAAAATACCAGATCCTTATCAGGTTCCTCAATTAGTACATAAAATGATTTTTTCGTGTTTTATAGCACTGATGTGGCATTATCCTAATTTCATTTTCTGTTTTTGTAAATATAAAAATATTGTACATAATTTCCAGACAGTGATATACATTGCCAAGTTGTTTTTTAAATAAAAGAAATAAGATATAATAGATGATCTCATTGCAATAAAAAAGCCAATTCTATTAGTCGGTATAATAACTAATTGTGAACACGTTAAGAAATGGCAATAATGGAATCAAGGCAAAATTTCGCCAACCAGGGCTAAATATCCTCTTTCCCTTTATCTTTTGTTACATTTTCAGATTGCAGTCCAGCTGCTCGGTGGGGTTGTGTGAGCTCCAAAACGCAAGGTGCGTAAAGCGATACACAGAATAAACCAGAACAACAGAGGAACCCGATGGAATCGATTAATTAAATAATTCTCGCATAAATCTCATTTAAATAATTTACGTTCTCGTATGTACAGAGCGCTTGGGTCGCGCATTTTTCGCTATCGCCTCGAATCTCCCTAGAATTTTCACGGCATCGCGTCGTCACGTCGATAACCAATAACAATAACAATATCGGCAACACTTGGTTAAATTCGTTGTACTAGTTACACTAACATTACATATTCGCCGTTATATGAAACGTTAAAATGTATTTCGGTAAACAGTCCATTTTCATTCGTATTTTCCATCTTCTTCGATCATTGTGCATGGCACCTTGAATTCGATAAGAGCGAGGAAACAATATTCCTTTCTTCCCGATACTTCGCTTGTTCATTTAAATTATTTATGGTAAGTCGTAGTACGTTAATTACCGATCTGTCCGTAAGAAAAAAGAAAAGAAAGGACGCCTAGTGTACGAACGTTACACTTCGACACCGAGAACTCTGTCGACCACATATTCGTATCTTCGTGGCTCTTCGCCGTCGGCATCTTCGGATGTCTTCTCGCTTTGACCATTCTCCTGACAGTGCGTATTCGATTCGTTAGGCCGACCCTTCGCGTTCACAGATTTATTTGTACTGTTCGTCGGAACGTCTTCGGCTATATTTGTAGTCGTACTCGCGTTATTGCTCGCGGCACCTTCAGTCCTCACCGCAGACGCGTTTCCGCTAGGAACACTGTTTGACCGTGTAGCCGAATTCAATGCACATTGAGCACCAAGTTTAGTAACCATGGATTCAGTGGTAACTGGTTCCGAGGCATGTCTTTTGTGTTGAGCGGATGATGGGGATGATAATGCATTCTCGCACAGTGAATCTTCGGGTGGAAGCACAGGAACATTGAGATTAACACGCGTGAAGAAAGCCATCTTTTCTCTGAAACACAAAATTAATATTGATTTAGACATGTGCAAAAATATAAGCTACTAGTCCAACAATTTATATGCAATTATGTTGTTACTTTTATTAGACTGCTATAGATTTGCTACTTATAGTAACTGACAGTATAGAGAAAGGTTCTTTTGTATGAATAGTAACAAGAGATATAATTCAAATGATACATACTTGAAAGAAATAATATCAGGTTTTCCTTTGCCAGCTTTCGTTTTCCTCAGCTTATAAATCTCTTTCGACGTTTTCTTCAGCATCTTTTCCACTCTCTTATCCTCAGCACTTTTGCCATTCTTTCCGCTTTCAGCCTGCGCCATAAGATTCTGGAACTTGTGGTCTTCCAGCAACCACGTGGCGAAGTCAGTATCCCCTTTCTCTCGAGCTTGCTCTAACCTCTGCTTCAATTCGCGCAATCTGCTCAGCTCGTCTTGAAGATTATTTAATCTGGCGTGTTGAGCTTGAAGATCCAATTCAAGGTCTAGCGAGGTTCTAGCAGTAGGCGGCAAATTGGTGGATTTCTTTGAAGCGGTTTTGCAGCTGAGAGCAGACGAGGGTCTTCGCCACCGAAGGGATCGTCTTTCTACTGAATTTCGCTGGAAAGGACCGCCTCTGCGATAAAGCGGCATGCTACTATCGCTGTCGCTTCGATTCAACTGTAACGAGATCCATGAAATTAAAACACGAATTAAGATTACAGCGTTGTCTTTAAAAGTCTGGATACTTACCCGACAGATATAGTGATTTTTGCTGACTGCAGCACTGGGCGAAAACGTCTGACTTCTTTTGATTACAATCGAATTTTTATCATCGTGCAAAGCATTCGAAACAACCCCGGCCGCTGAAAGTTTTCTCTGTTTTCCCTGTTCTGGTATGAAAATACATTCAGTGTTGGTTTCCTTGTCTTGAGTTTGTCTTGCTTCCTCGTTCAGCTCTTCATCCTCCTGAAATTCACCAATTAATTTAATATAAATTTCTATCTGCAGTTTGGAAATTATTAGCATGAAAAATAATGTGACTACGGCAAATTGGGATGCATTAAACTATAAAAACTTCCTCAAAATTGTGGTATTTACCTCATGCTCTAAAACATCCTCCAAAACATTGTCTTCCATCACAAATTCCACAATGATGCCCTCTTCATCACTGTCCTCGCTTCCGCTTTCGCTACCACCGTTTTCGTCCTCCTCCTCCGGGCTGCCCAAGCAATTAGCTAACTCCTCCAGCCTCAACGAGATGGCGGTTTGCAATTCGTCGCAGCCCTGATTTCTAGTTAAGGTAGACGTCTGAGAGCTGATGATCGTGCTCTCGTCACTGCTCTCCTCCTTGGTGTTCTGTCCACCACGATATACCGATATATCCGACTCTTGTTTGTCATGCTTAGCCTGTCTTGCTACGCTGGTGGAGATGCTGTTGCTGTTGCTAGTGCTGGTGCTAGGACTATCGGATGGCTGCATGAAGCGAAAGGAGAGTATGTTGTACCACTTTACGCTTGGCAATTCTGGACTGAAGTCTGCAAGCGATACTTGGGCACATCCCTGAAACAAAAATTAAATAGATGAATATGAAGACCTTAGCTAACATTTTGGGTTAATTTATAATATTCATAGTAAATTTATTAATTTATTCATTCCTGGAGGTTCACAACATATTTTAAATATTGTACCTTTTATTATAAACAAAATATGCAAATATGTAGTGAAGTAAATCTTGTAATTAGGCTAAGGATGTTTATACATTTAAATTACATGAATGTGAAGTATGCATCTGATTGCAAAGCACAGTGTGATAACGCATAAGTAATAAAAAAAGGAATCCATTTACAGCTATGAAAGTACAATAAGCTATTGTATGTACATAACTCTATTAATAGATTAATGCAAAATTAGATGATAGATGACTTCCATGTTTAAAGTTTATTGTAACATTTAATGCTAATCTTTTTTACGCGAATCTCTCACCATTATACTCCTGTGTATTACAGAATTAGTCTTTAAATAAAACTTATTAGAAAAAACAGACTAGAAGAATGCTGATGCATAAAATTACATATGCAAGTTATACAGTAAAATCTGTTAAAAATTATTACAAGAAAATACTTGAAAATCAAGTATTCGATTCTTTCTATGCGTGCACTGCTATTACCATATAGATGATAATGAAAATAGAGGAAATGAAACAGAACCGGAAAACACGTACCAAGCATTCCTCAGACTCATTGCCCGTGCACCAAACGTTAACTTGCAATGTCTTCGTGTATAATTTGTTGAGTGGTACTGCGATGGGAAACGTTTCACCAAATGTTGGTTTGCGCAAATCCACAACAGGTTTTGTACAACACATGTGATTAACGGGCGGCTGCATCGGAAGCAATGCAGCTTTTATATACCTGAAAATAAACAGAGAAGCAACTATTATTTTTTAGTTCTTATCAATATTCATTTTATGAGGACACTTCAGTTGAATTTTAAATTATGAAAAAGTTTATGATGGGAACAAGTTAGAGTTTCAACTTTTATGCTGCTATTAGGGAAACTCTAATCAGGAAACTTTATTAAATACTCACACTTGCGCATTGTTAGGAATAAAAAGGGCAGCTAGATTCCTTGCACGTTCAATTCCAACATGAAGTAGACCGTCACTTACAGAGTATCTGAACAGATAATTTAAAATTAATTATTATACAAGATTAAGTTGCTGATATAATTATTTTGTGGAAGTAAAGATTAATGTATAAAGTTACAAAACTAAATATTTTCTAAAATGAAAATGCAAACAAAGTTAGACAGAAAAATTACATTATCCAAAAATAGGATGTCAAATCAAATTGAATGATATAATCAAATAATTAAATTTAGTATTATTTTATCTGAATAAATTTTAAGGATCAAAACTATAATAATGGTTTAATAGATTCAACTATTCTGTTAATTATCCCTATTAAAATATGCTCAAGCTCTACGTATTCCTTTTCTTATGTTTCCTGTAATTTAGATAGCCGGAAAAGACGTCATTATTCGAGCATACAAATTCTAATCACGTCCGTATTATAAACTCAATACTGAATGTCTTTTAACACAGCTAAACCTAGCTGTTGCATACTAATAACTGAACAAAGACCTAACAAATATCTGTCATTCCATTATACGCAATATTATTGTAAATGAGATTAAAATACTTAAAAATGAGCATTGCATTTTGTAATTTCTACTTCTTTAGTCATATTCCATCTTTGAAAAGTGAAACTTGCTTAACATTTTATTTTACTTCCACTTTTGGTAAAAATATGTAATATGTACAGTCTTCAATAGTACTTTTGCAGCTAATTATTGTACTATGATTGAAAAGTGATGCGTTGCAACTGTATCATGAATGTTTACGCTTAAAGATATTTTTCTATTTTGTACAATTTATGTACTGTTAAAATTTTATCTACTTTACTGTACTCAGTATGCACAGTATTCATTTATATATCATACGTAGGCTGCAGATATTTATACAGTTATCATATATCAAAGACCATAAATTGTACATAAATCTATGTAATCTATGAAATCTGTAGTACATAGATTATATAACTTATGTATATTTTATAGAGTTATATATGTATTATAAATGCATAAACGTTTGCAATCTGATCATAAGAATTGATGTAATTAGATTTGTCTAGAGATTAAATTTGCTTTAGTAATAGTGCCAATATTTTGTATCAGAAATGTCCAAGTGACTTTTAGAAATTTGTATAAGTTTAAAATTTAGAAATTTGAAGGCTTGAAAATTGTATATGCTAATTGGAAATTGACAAATTTAAAAATGTGAGAGTTAGGGATTTAGAAATTTGAGAATTGAAAATTTAGAAATCTAATAATTTCCAAATTTCTGATATAAGATGTTCATCGTCCTATGTTCCTTACTTCCTGGTTCAATCTAGTTACATCAATGATCATATGAACATAAACATTTATAGCCCAGTTACAACCTACATTTACTGATTTCATTGCATAAATGTCTTCTATGAAATGATATGGTATATTGACAAATCACCCTATAAACTCCTTCGAACACTAAAACCCAACCCACATGGTCGTAAACTACTAGTCACAGTCACTGAGCTACCACTCTATTCAACCGGAACCAAATTCACATGTACCAAAGTACTTTTCCATTTTATTACAGAATATATTCCTTCTATCTATATAAAATTTCATCGATTTGCCTTCTTACCCTCAAAACTAAAAAAGAGCAAAATAATGCAAAACGAACCTAAGCTTAATTTGCACCTGCGCCGTCTCCGGACTCATCTCCCCAAGCGCCAACGAATCCACGTCTCCGATCATTCCCAGTACTTTCCTACGATTAGAGGCCTCGAACACTCCCGAATCACCGGCAACACTTTCGTCGGAAACGGCTGCTGAAACCGATCTGGTGTTGGTTCCGGAACTGCTGGCTCTCGATCTTATTCCAGTCGGCGGAGGTGTCTCACTGATCGGCGACAGAGGTGGTGGCTCCTGCGTGGGTACCTGGTGTTGTATCACGCAGACAGGCCTACCAAGACCGCTGCCTTGTGACATGTTCCCAGACTGCAGCTCGACAGGTGGATGTGGACCACCGACCAGCTTCAAGCGATCTTGAGAACCAACGCACGACTGCTCGTGTGACGAGGTTTGCTGTTGGCTGAGCCTGAGTTCCGCCAATCGGTCTTCCAATTGAGTTCCATCCAGGTGGGCGTTTGACGAGGTGGTAGGTCTTTGATGCTGCCGCCTCTGCATCTCCACGTGTTCGTATGCGGGTGGTGGCCCCATCGGAGCGTTTTCGTAGAGCGGCGAAACGGGCGGACTGACACTGGACAGGCTCGACCTTGGAGACAAGCTGGGCTGTGACCGACCGGGTGACGGAGTGCTGACGAGATTATTTTGTTCGGAGCCTCTAAGCAATCGTTCGACGCGTCTGTGTAGGTCAACCATGTCGACAGGTCGCTCTTGCTGCGAGCTAACGGGGCCCAGACACTGAGGACCGCCGTAAATGTCGGTGAAACTCAGGCCTGAGCTCAGAGAACCCTTGCTGCTGGTCGTGCTGAGACTTCCCAAACTGGAACTGCTGCTCACCGACAGCGTGCTCGCGCTCAAGGTCTTCAGTTGATTTTCCAGCGTCGCCATGGAGCGCAAAGCGTCCCTCAACTGTTGCAGCAGTAGCTGTTTCTCTTCGTGAAGCCGCACGCGGTCAGTTATGGTCTTATTCGAAAGCTCCAGCGCGTTATTCAGGTCCTGCTCCAGACGACGGATCTCGCTCTGGATCTTCTTCATGTCCTGCTGCGTTCTGGTGCGAGGAGTGATACTTCGTAGCTCCCTCAACAGCTGTTCCTTCTCCTGGAAGAGCAACAGTTTATCCTTGTCGCTTTCCGTTTGACCGGGTGTCACTTTCTCTTCAAGATCTGCTAGCTGCTGTTGAATGTGCTGTATCCTCTTCCTTGCCTCGTCGTATTGCAACCTCATTCTCGCCATCTCAGCCAGGCGAGTGCCAATTGGCACCAACTCGCCGGATAGATCTGTCTGGGATGCTGTGCTGAGCTTCTCCTGGGGCAAGCTGAGGGTACTAGCCTCGGGACTACCCTCGCAGAGCTGCAATCTCGTCAGCTCGTCCTTCAGCTGCGCCAGGGACTGCATCAATTCAGCTTTCTCTTTCTCGCCGGAACTCAGGGACTTCTGAATGTTGCGGAGCTCTGTCATTATAGCCTGGGCCTCGGTGATGTTGTAGCAACCTCCATGGTGCCCGCTTAGTTTCTGTTCGACACTGAATGGAAAATAGAAAGAATGAATGAAATTCTCGTTCTAATGTGACATAATGATGTTAATATGGTCGTTAGTATTCATTTAGTCATAAGGCATTTAAAAATAGGAGGTATACAAATTTATTACAAATAAAAATACTATCTGATGAGACTTTTGACGGCTTCAGAATAGTGAACGTGGTTTGCGTTCTAAATATAGCAACATAACGAGTAATTTTGTAAAATGTAATGATCTAATGTGTGATTATATGCGTGGAAATATACAATATGTGACAGTGTAGCAAGATAGAATGTGGTGATGTAATGCGTGGTAATGCAATGCATAGTAATGTAACGTGCAGTAAAGTAACATGTAGTAATGTAACGGGTAATAAAGTAACGAGTAGTAGTGTAACGTATAGTAATGTAACGAATAGTAATGTAACGTGCAATAGTCTAATGGGTAGTAATGCAATGCGCAGTAACGTAACGGGTAGTAAAGTAATGTGTAGTAATGTAACGTGCAGTAATCTAACCGGTATTAATGCAACGCGCAGTAACGTAACGGGTAGTAAAGTAACGTGCAATAAAGTAACATGTAATAATATAACATGTGATAATGAAACGCATGGCAATACAACTGGTGGCAATATAACGCGTGGCCCACTTCACATAAAAATCCTAGTTATCCCAATGGAAATATTTTACACAAAAACACATATTCAGTTTAAATTTAAGAAAAGTTAAAAAAAGTGATACCATACCTTGAAAGAGTGTCCACTCCTCGTTGCGTACAATTCATTTCTGCTCGAATCTGTTCGAGTTCTCGTTTTAGTCGGGAAACTCGACTCCTCGCGAGTGCGACATCGGATTTCAAAAGATCCGGATCATACTTGGTACTCAAGGAACTTGAACTGGAGCACACTGCAAGTAAACAAACGAATAATTAATTTTTCATAATTTTGTTTACATGAAGGAAAAATTTCCTAATATTAAATATAATATTACGAAATAATTTTTGAATTATTAATTATAATTTAATATCTAATTGCTAATTAATTCCTCATCTTATATTGCCACCCTTCTTTTATTAATATTGTTGATTATTAACAAAATTAACTATGTAACTATTTTTTAATGATAACTGTATTATTTTTTTACAATTTATTAAGATATTTAATTGTTTAACCTTTACAGGAATAACGTTTTTAAAAACAAAACTTTTTAAGATTACAGACATTAATGATCAAATTTTGTATGCAATTATATTATACTCTTTTTAAATCTAAATTTTAAATAATATACTCCTTTTAAATAATTTTAAATAATTAAATAAACAATTTGCAGAAAAATTAATCATATACAAAAAAGAGAAAATATCTAAATAATATGTGGACAGAGTTAAACTCAGAAAAAAATACACGTCCATTACGTATCATTACTAACTACCACTAATTATCAGAAATATCCTATCTTTATTCCATTGCAACACTTCATTACAAAATTTGTACTTCTTTGAAGAAATCAATAACTGTGATTAAAAACATCCTGTTATTTACATCCTATTTAATTTAAACAAATGTGTCTCAAACGAAATCGCAGCAATTAGATTCATCGTGTCTAAATAACTGTTAATACAACCGTAAATTTCATAGTACACTTCAAAGGATATTTCGAACGCTAAAAAGATTCCGGAAAATAGATACCGCTAGCGTTAAGGTGTACTCACAACTTGTACGCGATGCGCCGAGCGTCGTTAGAGCGTTGTTAAGGTGATTGTACTCATCCTGGGCCAGACATAGCCTCTGCTGCTTCACATCGTAGATTTCCTTCTTCGCCTGCAACACAATTGCAAAGAAACCATTTTTAAAACTGTTACTATACCAAAAATCACAATACCGTCACCAAAGTTTGCGAACGTTTTAATCGCGAAACACTTCGAACCTGACTTTGACATAACCTAAATTCGCGATAATAACACTGGAAAAAGTTTTAGTCAAATTTCCTAATTTTAATTAAATTCTAACCACATTCTTATTTATTGTAATTGATCAAAACCTTATACGTGTGTACACCGTTTAAAAAACACTTCACGAGAAATTCTTCGAACGGAAGTGACCTTGAATTTTGCTTTTCATCTCGATCACTTCAAACTACTTATGAAGTAGATTTAATTTCACTTAAAAATCGAATTAATTAAAATTGAGATTTGTGTAGACATGCATTATTTTTAAATGTAAATTTGCAAATAAACTTTACAGATAAATTTTTATCACTAAAGTACTTAAACCTCAAACGGGACTTAGTGAATTGAAATTCGATAGAAAAAATTAATTAAAATTGAATAGAAGCTGTAGGAATTTGAAGTATGCAAACGCTGTTACGCAGCATTCGTAGTACTATGAACAGCACGATACGCATCGTGCATTCTTGCACTGTTAGACGTCGTAAACGTGGTACTACCGCAATAATATCGATAATGGTTTCGAAAAACGTTTGAGATTCACAGTAGCATTTTATCTGAATTTCATTTCTGTGGAATTTTCTGCCCCGCTATTCTACGAGCCTCGAGCTCCCATTTCGCATCACTCCACTGTCGAGCGTGTTCGAGAAAGACACACGAAAACAACTCGGAATTTCTTACGGGTTTTAAAATCATATCCTACGCTCGGACACTGTTACTGTTCTCTCGAGCCGAACAGTACGGAATAGAATAATCCTCGAAAGCACTGAGGAATTTCACTTGAACACACCGAGAACAAGTAGTGTATAAAGAATCCTGTTGCCCTTACGTATTCACAGTAATAGTACGCGGTGGCGTCGGTGTCATCGCGTCTGTAGCACTGCTCCCAGTAAAATCTCTGTATCTGCTCGTCGTTCTCGTAGTCATTGTGGTAGCACATCCTCATCCGATACTGCGAGACGACGTTCTCGTAAATTTGCTCCTGCTGATAAGGCTGCTTGCACGTTGATCGTTGCTGTTCTGGATATTGTTGGCGTTGCTGTTGTTGCAGGCGCTGATGATGCGCGTGCTGATGGTAATTGTTCACGTAGGTGCGGTACTGGTGCGCCGGTACGAGTACGCAGAGTGTGTACTGACGGTCCATGCCGGGTACACAGTAGACTAGGCACGGTTCCTCTTCTTCCTCTTCTTCCTCCTCTTCTTCTTCTTCTTCTTGGTCGTCGTCGTGGTGCACGTCGTCGTTGTAGCCTCCTTCTTCCTCTCCTTCAACTTTTTCTACTCCTCCTTCTCCTTCTTTTTCCTCTTCTTCTTCTCCTTCGTCTTCTTCTTCCTCTATCCCGTCGGGCGTCTATCTCCTCTTCCTTCACCTCATCTTCGCGAAGGCCTCCTCGAGACTGGCCGGTTTACGGGGCCCGAAATTCCGATCCCCACCTCTGTGGGTCTCAATTTTTAAGGGATCCCACCTTTTTTCCACCTTTTTGCCTTCTCTTCCTTCGCTTCTTGCACCACCCGGTCGAACCTCTCTCCTTCCCTTCTCGTTTCCATCCTGCTTTTACCTACTACCCTTCCCCCAACCCGAGTCCCAGCATCCTTCCTTTTTGTTCTTACGCCTCTCTCTCCTTCTTCCGTTTAATCCTTCGATCTCTGCTTCCTTCTCGCTCGACCGCACACTCGACTGCCTCCATCTTCGTACAGGCATTCCTTCTATCCTCTCTTTCTGTCTGCTCCTTCCACGGTCCTCTCGTTCGTCTCGCTTCAACCACGGTGGCCTCAAGCGGCTCTTTCTTACCCGGTGTAAAAAGGCGGGCCTCATCCTGAGGCCCGGCAGGACCGTCGCAATCGAGCCCTTGCGCCCCCCCACTCCGATACTTCTACTATTCTTTCTTCTTCTCGTTCCACGCTCGTATACTCCCCTCCTACGATCCTCTTCCTTTCGAATACTATGCGTTTCATGCGACATTCGTTTTTAGCGAGTCTAATTGATACTAGAACGTACGCACACGTGCTGCGCGCCATAAATATTTACGATATCGCGTGACAAACTTCTATTCCTCGTTTCACTTTCTTTTGTTTTACACTCGGACGTTCAATTTCCTCCGGAGGCAACGGAAATTCCACGATATCTAATTACAAATTCTTGCGCCGCGAAAAAATACCAATAATAAGCCAGGGAAATAACCTGTAATACTGATCCGTAGGTTACGGCGTTAGCGGAATGCCTGCTATGTCACGTGCTCTGACGAGTGCACCCGATTACTGCCGAAACTATCGTAGCGGTTACGAAGTTACGATTATACCTTAGGGCGCGTTTACGCTGAACGAGTATATATTTACAATGACATTTCTTCGTACCTGTATTATTTAAAAGAAAAATGGGAATCTTTGTCAAATTTAAGTGATGAACATTCCTTTTTTCTATTTTACATCTAACAAGAGCTAAATCTCTTGCTTTATGTTCTACGTTCTATGTTCAATATTCTATGTTCCATGTTCTATGTTTCATGTTCTATGACCTATCTTTTATGTTGTACATTTTATGTTTTATCTTTTATGTTCCATGTTGTATGTTTCATTATGCGTTGCTCATGTAATATAAACATATTTTTATGAAATGCGTTGTGATTGACTTTAATTGTTAAAAAGGTACTTATAATTCATACTGCATTATTCTAATCTTTCAACATATCTTGCAATATATACAAACTATTTATAATTAATTTTTTATTTATTTAAAATCATCACGTACGAATAGAACAGAGATGCGTAATGCGCATGCGTTGCACTATGCGCATGCACATTAACGTCATATTGTAATAATGTTATATGTCATACTTTGGTCATCAAATTGTCATACATTTCAGCCGATAAATTTAACTTAATATTTGAAACGAAATTACAACAGATAATTTTCTTTACCAAATAGATATGGTGATTCCTAATTTGTGAAAAAGAAATATAATTAAAAGGATAAAAAGGCGAATATAGTCCATCAAAGTGCGTTATTTTTTGTGTGGCATTAGAGCGGTGGTAGGTGTAGTGGTGAAATGTTAAAATACGGAGAAGGTCGCTTCGTATTCGTCATCGAAGACTACCCCCGAGGGCGTACATTTTTTCAGCGACGCGGAATGTGGTGGTATGCGAGGCTGACATGCAGGGCGCCGCGGGGCGAGCACACGATCCTGTCGCTGGCGGAGGCCAGCCTGTAAGGGACGACAGAAGGGACGGAGTAGGGAGCCTGGAAGCGGGATAGGAGGGGAAAGAGGGCCTGACGAGGTCACGGTACGACCCTGTTGAACGTGGTCCCATCTCGGACTCTGTTGGTCGGTAGTAGAACCGACCTTGAGTCGCGCATTATGCCTCGTCCTTGTTGGAATTTCTGGGGCCACTACTGGCCCATCAGCCGTGTCTTTGATCATCTAAGAACAGGCCCGGTGGACCTTGGTATATGTCCCCTCTCCGTCAGGAGGCCCGCTCCGTGCCGGTAGTGATGGGACCAATTTCTCTTCCCTTGCTCGTTTCTCCATCGACGTTACCAATAAAGGTAAATTAATAAACGATAATCTCGTTCGCTGTCTAATTAATTAATTGGATCCAAATAAGGTATTCCCCTAAATTCCATATACTTATGAAATTATAAAGTTGAAAAAATCATTGTTCATTGTAAAATGATTCAATTTTTTTTTTTCTTGTAGAATAAAATTTTTCTCTTGATTACTTTGCAGTGTGATACAAATAGGAAGGAGAACGAAGGAATCAACAACCGCTCGATTCCATCACTACGCATCGAAGAATTTCGCCCCTCCACGGGTACCACCACACCACCCCAAAACCGCCGAAGGATTCACGGGACTCAGGCCCCGCGCGCATATTTCTCGGTCCACACTATTATTGTCGGAGGCTCCGTAGATGCTATCGAGTACGAGCCGGTTCGCTCGCCTCGCGGAAAGAGGGTCTTATTTTTCCCCATCCTCCTCCCTCTACCGCTCCCTCTCCACCTTCACAACCGAAGCTCTTCTTACCTCAATCCTTGCATCTCCCTATGTATCTATCATTCCTTTTTTCTCTCCTTCGAAAGATCGACTCGCTTCCTTCTCGTCCCGTCGCACATCCGAAATCTCTTCCGCTTTAGGTGCTTTTTACAGAGCAGAACGATGACTGATGTTATTGGCACCGTACGAGAATTTCTTCGCCCGAGGCGGATATGCAGTTGCATTTTTTATTTTTACTATGTTCTTAGGTATTAATTGAACAGTCTACTGTATATGATTGCAAATTATTGACGATTTGCAAATAAAATTTGGTAGAGATAGGCTGATGTATATTTTTATATTTGTGCATAATTTACTAATTTCTATTTCTTAATGACCATTGCTGTACATATGTCATTAGACAAATACTTAATCTATCATTTTAATTAATAAAAAATTTTAATTAGTATTTAAAGCAATTATACAATACTTGAAATACTTAAAATATCCAAACCGTGCAAATTTTAATTTTTATAAAAAATTCTAGAAATGGTGTAACAGTTTTATTTTTGTTAACTAGGACGAACTTTTTAATTTATCTAAAGATATTCCTGTACTTCCCAAATAATTCTGTTACTCATCAAACCGTGACTCTACAAAAATTTCAAAGATGAAAAAGGTAGAGAACGAACGTCGTCGAACGACAAGGCAATCGAATAAACACTTTCTCCACCGGGGCTAAACTTTAAGTCGCAAATCACGTGCGTGTAGCAACCGAAGGTACACTCTGGTGCAACCATTGACTTCCTATGGACAAGTAGACATACTCGAAGTTAAACAATTTTTTATTTCACGTATTTTTGTACTTTTAAATTTCTGGATATTCTAGATCCCGAATTTTATAATT